CTAAGAGCTTCTAAATTTAATTGCAAATAGTGACATCACAGAAAAGAAAATTATCAGTGAAGTAATTAAAAACTTACTGCATTTTAAAGTATGTATTGACTAGAGGTGTCAAAATGGGCTGGTCCAACCCAACCCTAACGGGCTAGAGAGTTAAAATGGATTGGGGCGGGGTGACCCTTTTAATTAAAGGGTCAATAATATAGAGGCCCAATCCAGTCCTAAGAGGGCCACGAGTTGGGACGGATTGGCCCTTCAACCACAAAATGAACAGTATTACTCTCTTAGAAAAGAATCGAATGTTGACGTCTATGACCACGATATCAATTCACACAAAAATTCATTTATAAATCACACTTTGGTGAATAGTTATAAAAATATATTTATGAATCACACTTTGGTGAATACTTACAAAAATAGATAATAACCAATGTAAGATTTAGCGGATAAATGTTGATCATTCCATCATTTCTCCCACAAAAAATTAGTTGGTTTAAAAGATTTCCAGGAACACAATACTTAACAAATCTAAATTTCTAAATAGTACACGACTCATTAATTAATGTTTTACAACTCCGCTTCTACTTTCACTCATCGATCACATTTGAATCAACATGTGATATTTTTTTCTTTAAGAAGTTTATCTTCATCTACAATTCACCATGCAAGATAATATTGCAAAATACTTGATTTTTTATTTTTAAAAATATTTAGTCATAAATTCTTTAAAAATAAAACACTATTAAAAATATATATATCAAAATATTTTAAAAAATTAATCGCCCACGAGCTGGCTTCTGAGGCTTGCGTGTTGGATCTACGAGGCCAACTGGCCAAATGAGGCGGGCTAAAAAGCCTCGTTCATAAATGAGCCAAAAATATTAAGCCCAACACCACTTATTTCAAGGGTTGGGTTGGGCCAGCCTCACAGACTATTTTCTTATATAGTCTATGGAATACCTCACTTTGCTCTCAAAATGGTTTTCTCTCTCTAACTTGGCGTGTTCTACAAATGAGCAAGAATGCTCTATTTATAGAAGGATAAAACCATGCCTATGTCACTAATGACATATGTAAACATAGAAAAGTCAAGAATGGTTGCAAATCTTACCAATTTGCCAACTACCAAATCTTTTCTTTTCAACTCCAACAATTGCTTGTACCAATTGAATAACTAAAGTTGACTAAAACAATGAGATGGATTTAACAAATCTCCCCCTCCAGTCCCATTTACTGGAAGAAGGTATCTTCAACTTCTTTAGAGAGAGCTCATACCCACAAGTTCTTTGCATAACTCGAACTTGTCTTTCGGTATCATCTTGGTCAGCATATCTGCAGGATTTTCACTTGTGTGAATCTTTTTGACGTGAAATGATTCATTCTCCACTTTCTCACGAATCCAATGATATCTGACGTCAATGTGGTTTTGTTCTTGCACGGTACATGGAGTTCTTGCTCAAGTCTATTGCACTCTGGCTGTCACAATAGACAATATACTCCATCTGATTCAAACCAAGCTCGTGAAGAAATCGCTTTCGCCATATCATCTCCTTGCCGGCTTCAGTAGCCGCAATATACTCAGCTTCAGTTGTAGATAGTGCAACACACTTCTGCAACTTTGACTGCCATGATATAGCTCCCCCTGAAAAAGTAAACAAAATCCAGTAGTGGATTTTCTGTTATCAAGGTCACCTGCCATATCAGAATCTGTATCGCCTTTCAAGATTGGATTTGATGCTCCAAAACACAAGCATTCATCTGAGCTTCATCTAAGATACCTGAGTATCCATTTTCACAGCTTCCCAATGCTCTTTTCCCGGATTTTCGAGAAATCTACTGACAACACCAACTGCGTGAGCAATATCAGGTCTAGTGCACACCATTACATACATTAGACTTCCGACGACGGAGGAATATGTAACTTTGGCCATGTTCTCTTTTTCCGCCCTAGATGTAGGACACATCTTCTTGCTCAACTTCATATGACCAGCAAGAGGTATACTAACAGGATTAGCATTCTTCATATTGAAACGCTCCAGTACGCGTTCAATGTACTTCTTCTGAGACAAATAAATCTTCCTTTTATATGTAAGACGAGTAATTCTTATGCCTAAAATTTGCTTGGCATGACCCAAGTCTGTCATAGAAAAAGACTTACACAACTATTTTTTCACCTCGTCAATCTTGAAAGTATTCTTGCCCACAATCAACATATCATCCACATACAACAAAAGGATGATAAAATCATTGTCAGTAAATTTTTGTACAAATACGCAATGATCTGAAGAAGTCTTCTTATATCCTTGCTCCCCCATAACATATTCAAACTTTTTGTACCATTGTCTGGGAGCTTGTTTGAGGCCATAGTGACTCTTTTTGAGTTTGCATACAAAATTTTCTTTACCATCTACTTTGAAGCCCTCAGGTTGTTCAATATAAATCTCTTCTTCTAGGTCACCGTGAAGGAAAGCCGTCTTCACATCCATCTGCTCAATCTCTAAATTAAGACTAGCAGCCAAACCTAGAACTATGCGAATCGAGGATATTTTCACAAAAGGAGAAAATATTTCGTCAAAGTCAATACCTTTCCTTTGACCGAATCCATGAACAACCAATCTAGCTTTGTACCTGGGCTTCAAGTTGTGTCCTTCAGCTTTAACTTTGAACACCCACTTGGTCTTCAAAGCTCTCATGCCCTTGGGCAATTTTACCAACTCATAAGTGTGGTTTTCATGCAAACACTACTAGAAATTTGGTCTACTGCCACGGTTCACCTATCATTGCAATTGACGTTACTACCGTAGCCATAGGTCTAAGGCTACGGTTACACCAACCGCTACAACAGATCGCGTAGCAATAGAGCTGTTGCTACGGTTCTGTGCGACAGTTCATATAATCGTTGCCATACATTGACCTATTGCCACAGTTATCATTTGAATTAATTGCCAACGGTTATGTACGTATTGGTACAGTTTTTAACTGTCGTAATAGAGGTTATGCATAAGTTCTGTTAAGGCTATGGCTACAATTTTTTTCGATTCAACACACCATTTCACTCAATTGCGACGGTTGTTATAGGGATATTGCAACACTTTTAAGCAATTGTAGAACTGTTGCTTAATGCCTATTGCATCGGTTATTACCTGCTATTTGCAACAATTCTAATGCAATATTAGTAAGCTCTATATACCTGCTATATACTAAATCATTCATGAGAATAAATTTTATAACATAAAAATACACATAAATCGTTAACGAGAATAAATGTTCATTACCGTAATTAGAATTCAAGATCCGTGATTCTAATATCAATTAAAGCAAAATATACAAATCATTTTATAGCATTCAAAAAAGGTGAAACACATGCCATAGAATTTTCAATCTTCAAAAATATATGATTTCTAGAACATCAATAAAGTTTAAATCAATATATACTTCAGCTCCTATGTCAAGTCTTCACTATTGCTTTCATTGCCTTCTTCGATTTCGTCACCTACATACAATCAGAAAAAAATATAAATAATTTAGGAAACATCAAATCTTAGAAATTAACAAGTATACATGTAGTTACAACCAGGCATTAGCTTTTAGAATTGTTCAACCCTAAAACTTGGAAATCAAGTACATGCCAATAACATTCAACTGCTAGCTGCGCGCATTCAAACTTCTACAAGCAGCAGCAGAAACAAGAGACCATACTACATGCAGTAATTAGCTAATACGTTGACTCGACTAAACATAATCGTGAAGCTAGGATTCGAATCTATGTATAATGCTACATGAAACCAGCAGCAGAAACAAGAGAGCAGCAGCAGAAACAAGAGAGCAGCTGCAGAAACAAGATAGACCAGCAGCAAAAATAAGAGAGCAGCTGCAGAAACAGGATAGACCTGCAGCAGAAACAAGAGTCTAGACTACAAGCAGTAGAAACAACACTATAATGCTACAAGAGACATGTTTAATTAACATAAACAAGAAACCAGACTACATGCAGTAATTAGCTACTACGTTGATTGGCTTCCAAAAGGTATCAATAAGTTATATAGAAATAGCTGGAACCACTGCAACTCGTCAAAAGGCTCTTAAAGAACAGTACCTTTTTTCCTGCACTTGCATTCGCTGCATCATGTTGGTATGTCCATTGTGTAGTCTAACTAGTGCTCAGTAATAAGATTTCTCTGCTCACAAACTTATAACCTACTGTAAGGGACAAAATGATGATATCCAAGAAAGTGCAGTTTTGGAGGGTTATAGATGCAAGGACAAGAGATGCACTGGTTTCCTGCTTCGTGACTCTGGTATATGATCTCTTTCTCGAACCTCATCTTAAACCTGCAAGATTGATCTTGATCTGGTTTCCTAAGGACTTACTTTTTTTGTGTTGGTAATAAAGGATTCACATGCCAATTATGTGGACTTGTTAGGGACAAGGAAGAAATAAAGAATACTGTTCATGAAATCCAATCACTGTCTGAAAAGGCTTCGTTTTCACTTCCATGTGGACGTATCCTCTGCATTTAGCACTAAGAATGTCTAATCTATGTTACTATCTGTAAACTCTATATAATAGTCATATATAGATATTCTACTAATGTTAGAATAATCATCATGTTAATACTACTTCTAACAATGTGTTGAGCTAATCTTTCCCCTCTAAGTCAGCACTAGCTATATTACGCCATAAGAGGAGGCACTAGTCCTCTACTAGGCTACAAGCAGCACCAGAAAACTCATGAACCAGACTACAAGCAACAACTCAGACATTAAACTATCAGAGAACAAGTAGCAACTCAGAAATTAAACTCATGAATCAGGCATTTAGTGATCCTCTACCTAACTTTTCCCCAACTTCCTTAGATGAATAGCATACTATTCCATTCTAATCCTATAGCAAGTAGCAACAACAAATACCAATAAAAACATAGAATTAGCGACACCAACCTTGTTTAGCCCCTTGAATAGAAGTAGATTCTCTTAGTGAAGGAGTCGACAATGCTTCCAATATGTTAGGATCAATTAATCCTGCATGCTTAAGTTGTGCAATAACATCTGCAATAACTTCTTGTCGCACAATTTTCTTTTGTTCCTCCATTTGTTTCTCCATTTTCTGCATCCTCTCTTGCATTTGCTGCATTCCATCAGTTGTTGCACTTAAAGTTGATTCCCAATTGCCAACTTTTTTTTTCAAAGTAGTCTTTGTAACTCCTGCGCCATATAGTCTTAGACGTCCCGGATGTTCAGGACCCATGACGCTTGAAAATGCATCAACATACTCACCATTTATGCTTATTTATTTTTCAATTTACTCCATTTCAGCCTACCAAAGTATATCCAACAAATACAATCTTATGAAATAAATAATTGATCTCAACAAAAAAAATTAAAATAAACAGGCACATACAATTTTACTAGTAGTATCTTCATTTGAGGCCTTGTACGATCGCCTAGGTTTTCTTGTTCTTATAACCACAAAGAGATCCTTAGATGATACTGTCTCCTTATCTTTCTCCTAGTCGAATTGAAATATATATAAAAACTAAACTCACATTGGAAGACATCCAAAAGAAAATTTCATTAAAAAATAATATATTAGAGAACTCACCAGCTTATTACGAACTAAAGCGAAACTCTTTTTGCCAGCAGTGTGTGGATTCATCAGTTTTTTTCGATTCTTTGCATTTGTTTCAGACATTTTCTGCAAAGAAATGAATCAGTAATGTTAATCAAAGGTATATTAGTGTTATATAGTGTACTAGACGAGGTCAATATTAGTCTGTCTTTCCTTTATAAAAGTCCATTTTTCGTTTATAACAATCTGTCAATATTAGTCATTATATAGTGTTAAGGTGTCTTGTAAAATGCATGTGACTATCACATTAAATGAAGCTTCAAAATATTACAATACAAAAGAGAGTAAAATAAAAAATAAAGCAGAATATATACTATTATCACACTACTTTAGACACAAAAGTACAACCAAGACTCAGGTAAAGCAGAATCAATACTATTATGTTAGCAACGCCGATATCACACTATGGACAATTATGTCATAGCAGTCAATATTGGCACTTTATCCAGATGCTTTAGTACCTATACTATTCAGATGGTTACTATATGTTTTGATTTACTTTTGTAGCAGTCAGAGAGAAGGTTATGCAGACTGGTCCGTATACAAACCATAATATTGCTAGAGGTATGAATTACAAATAGAAATGAATCATATTTCATTGCAATTGTCATTGACATTTCTCAAACTTAAGTGGAGATAGTTACACTTGCTGCACCTTATGGGTCTTTCTAGTAAGGTCTGAATTACAGATACAGTCCAAAATGTTGCTCTAATTGCTTTAAGTTTGTGCATGATAATAATCCACTTGCTGATTAAAAAGACACCTATGAGAAAGAAGAGTCAAGAGGAAGCATAGAAGCTGGGAAGAGAGGTACTATTTTTTCTAACAGTTTTGAAGTGTTGGGGGTCACAAAGTGGGAAGAAGCTGGGAAGGGAGCGAAAATCAAGAGCTATAATACAAATGCTACTAATTAAAAAAATTGATATTCTGAACTACATTTTTACCTTGAATTTTTCAGAATTCCAATATTTGAGTAGCTCTCTAAATTGACATTCTTGAATATGACCAGACTTTTTTGCCATTCGAACTGCATCATTTTCATATGGATCGTAATAATTAAGCTTCAAATCACTTCTATGTCTTCTCCAAGCATCTCGAATTGTTACCATAGCCCAATGGTACGCAGCTTCAGGAATAATATATTTCCCCTATAATTTTGTGTCATTCAATTAGCCAATAGAAGTAAAATACTTTTACAAATAATTTATTATTGTAAACTACAAACCTTGGTATAATCCCACAAATCCTTTTTAGTGTCCATGCTCCTCCAATCCAATATATCAAATGGGCAAAGAGTCGCATTTCTAGCCAATGTTCCTAGGAAGCTACTTAGCTCTATGACAACATCATCCGTAGGACCAACATGTTGATTTTGACTATTCAGTATGATCAACTTACGTTCTTTTCGGGCATGAACATCATGCATTTGCGTTCTACCTCTTTTATTTGGACTGGAAACATCTCCAGCTCTAAGAAAATAAACGAAATATAATTAAAAATTATGAATACATTTAATAGGTTTGTAATCTTATATGTTACCTTGTTCTTCAGGTTGATCATTTGTTTGAGGAGTGAAAGAATTCATTTGCACTTGATCCTCGAAAGGAAAATCTTTGCCATGTTGGTCAAGAGGTAGCTCCTGGACAGGCTGCTCAAGAGGCAGCTCCTCGACAGGGTGCACAACAGGCAGCTCCTCGACAGGCTGATTTTCAAAAGGCAACTCCTCGGCAGATTTTCTTTTTGCTTCAGATTGTGGTGCCATTGATTGTTGTCCTCCAATTAATTTGAGCAGGTGTCCTTTCTCGCACTCTATTTCTTTAATAATTTCATTTGTTGTCAATAACCGTCGTTTCTTATTTGCCAAGAATGATACGATCCCGGTTTAGCAAATGTCTTCTTTTTGGCTTTTTTGGTTCTTTTTGAAGTTTCTTGTTGACTCATAGCTATGACTATTCTGACCTGTGTGAAAATAGAAGAAATTAAAAAGTTACAAAGATATTGCAAAGAGCTGAAAAACATCCAGTAGGTCTGTTACTTTCCACAATCACACACAAGATTTAGAGTGTTTTTAGGAAGCCAATTGGTGGAATTATAAGAGTGAAGAAGTGTTCAAAGAATCATAAAAACGAGATACGAACCTGGAGTGTTGGACCTTAATAAAGAGATAAGAACCTACTGATTTGCTGGTCCACTAATATATTGAAATTGCTCAGAGAAACTGCAAAAACAAGAAGAATGAAAATGATCAATAAGAGAGAAAAAAGACTTACCATAACATGAAAAAAAATATATAGAAACAAAAAGAAGAGATAGCAAATATAGGTCACTCAACATTCATAATCTATATGATGCAACTCAAATGATATTCATTACTTACTATAAGAAAAAAAACATAATGTATTCGAACAAGTCCACAAGATCCTTTGTCAATCATCAACTTCCATCCAATCCCAATCAGTATCATCAAAGTCATCCTCCTCTTCCGATGTTTCCATAGCTTCATCTTGTGAATGTTGTGCAATGGAAGGAGCATCGATGATATCAACAGGAAGATCTTCTCTAGACCATCTAACATCTACATCAACTAATCTTTCTGATGAACCAATATCATCATTAGGCTCTCTCCAAAATGTTTCTTCAATATTAGGACAATTATCTTCCTCCAAATCATACAAATCCACAGGGACTTTGTTTCTTGCATAATAAACATTTTTCTCAACCGGGTCTTCCACATAAAAAACTTGATGCACTTGAGATGCTAGTACAAAAGGATCATTTGTACTACATTTTTTGTTGAAATATACCCGAGTCAATCCATATTCATCGACTTCATTATGAAACCAATCACAATTAAAAAGTACAACACTAAAGCAACCCCAATAATCAATCTGAATGATATCCTGAATTATTCCGTAATAGAGAACCATTCCATCAACTGGAGTTTGGTCCCTAGCACTAGCAAAACTATCCGTTGTGGCTGACAAAGTCACTCCACTATTCTGAGTTTTACAAGGGGCATCCTGTTTCTTCGTATGAAATCGATATCCATTAATGAAATATCCAGTTTATCTTTTTTCCACAAAGTTAGGCCCTTTAGCCTGCCATTTTAAATGATTGGACAATTCAATATTTTTAATTTTTTCACTAAACCAATCACCAAATTTTCTACTATGGACCTGTGCTTTTACCCAAGCATTGCCTCTAGTACGATTATCAGTTAAGCTCTTATGTTCCCTGTAAGCATGTAATGTAATTTAATCAATGTGTATTTATAAATGAAATGAAATTTTAAATACATTATCATAACATCTAAATGAAGTTTAAAAACAAATGAGTATTTTATCTTACTTGATAAATGTCTCTACTTGTTCATCTCCTATATTGAACAAAGTATATCGATGTGCTTCAAACAACTCATGCTGCTCCATGTTAAAAATCTTGCCTTTCCTTATATTTTCACTTCCAATTGGATGACATGTCTTAGGAAATAAATGTGAAACACCACCTTCCTCTATTTGAATGTACTCATCATCCTCTATTTCACACCTACTTAATTTTGTCTTCACCGTATTAGGTAGGTATATGGAAATAAAGTTCAAACAATCTACAGCTGAAAAACCTTCTACTATTGATCCTTCAGGATTTTCTCGATTATGAACAAGCCCCTTGAAGTCACACATAGTTCTCTCTATAGAATACATCCAACGCAAATGAGTTGGGCTTCCAAGATTAATTTCATCTACTAAATGGATAGGTAAATGTGTCATTATATAAAAAAAAGATGGAGGAAAAATCTTTTCAAGCTCACATTCAAATCTATGATTTCTGCTTTCATCTCATCAAGATCGCTTCTTCTTATAACCTTACTACATGTGGCTTTAAAATAATTCCCCAATCTAATCAAGACCATAGCTACATTCTTGGGTAACACTTTTCTGACTGCAACCTGGAGCAAGTAATGCATTATGAAATGAGCATCGTGACTTTTGTATCCTGATACTTTCATCTCTTCAATTTGCACACGACTTGATATATTATAAGCACACCCTTTTGGTAATTTGGCATCTTTTAAGACGGTGCAAAATAACTTTTTCTCATCTGGTGTCATAGAGAAACAAGCTTTAGCTAGATGGATATTTCCTGTATCACAATCTTTTAGAGGTTGAAGCTCTTTACGTATCCCCATTTCATACAAGTCATAGCGAGAACTTATATGATCTTTGGACTTTACAAGTATATCCAATAAAGTCCCAAGCACACTGTCACAAATATTCTTCTCTATGTGCATCACATCAAGATTGTGCCTCAATTTGTTTGTTGCCCAATACAACAACTCAAAAAATATGGATTTTTTCTTTCATGGACCAACATTCTTTCGTTTTCTTTTCTTTTTGTTCTTTCCAAAAACATTATTGAATTCAAGAAGCTCTTCAAGAATTTGTGCACCTGATAATGGAGTAGGTGCAACTTTATGCTCCTGTTTACCATTAAATGATCTTTTATCTCTTCTGAATGGATGATCAGGAGGTAAAAACGTCCGGTGACCCAAGTAACACATCTTGCGACTATGTTTGAGATATTGGGAACAAGTATTATGGTTACAAGTGGGGCATGCCCATCTCCCCTTGGTTCTCCATCCAGAAAGCATTGCTAGAGCTGGAAAATCACTAATTGTCCACAATAAAGCTGCATGCATTAGAAAGGTTTGATTAGTTACAACATCATATGTTTCAACTCCCACTTCCCATAGTTCCTTCAACTCCGCAATCAGTGGTTCCAAGTATACATCTATATCATTTCCCGGAGACGATGGACCTGGAATAATCATTGATAACATAATATTCTCCGACTTCACGCAAGTCCATGGAGATAAATTATAGTTCATCAACATAACTGGCCATGTGCTATGGGAAATGCTCATAGTTCTGAATGGATTGAAACCATCACTTGAAAGACCCAATCTAACATTACGAGCATCATTAGCAAAGTTAGGATGCAATGAATCAAAATCCTTCCAAGCTTCACCATCTGCAGGATGTCTTAAATTTCCATCTTTAAGTCGTTCAGTATCATGCCATCTCATAGCTACAGATGTTTCAGAACACATGAATATCCTCTGAAGCCTAGGCTTTAAAGGAAAGTACCTTAAAACCTTCACTGGGATTTTCGTAACCTTATTATTTAAGTCATTCCGAACATTCTTCCATCTTGAAGCTCCATACACAGAGCAATTATCTAGCTTTGCATTTTCATTCAAAAATAATATGCAATCATTAGTGCAAGCATGTATTTTCTCATAATGAAGATCCAAAATTCTTTTATGACCTTTTTTGCCTTGTAAAACGAGTCTGAAAAGGCCACATCAGTCAACTTGTGAATGCATTTAAACAAGTATAGCCGGATGGTAAAACTCAACTTAGAAAAATTCTTACACCTTCGATACAACTCTTCTTTCCTTCCTCCACTAATTTAAAAAATCTTTTTGCATATTCATGTGGCCCCTCCATCACTCCTTCATCTCTCTGATCATCTACAATATTTCTAAAAGTATCATGAAGTAATCTATCAATATCGTCATGCATGTTAGAAGTTTCTTCTTCATCGGTTGGATGTAGCGTATTTCTAGAGGAAAATCCTTCACCATAAAAAACCCATTTGGTGTATCCATGAACAAATCCATGGCAAATCAAATGATCCTCTACCATATTTCGGCAATGCCAACTACGATTAAAGCACTTCTAACAAGGACACAATATTTCATTTCCTTGGGAAGCTCGTTCAAATGCTTTATCAAGAAAATCATTAACTCCATGAATATATTCATTGGTGGATCTTCGGAGATTCATCCAACTTTTATCTCTAAAATCCATTGAATATTTATCCTACATGACATGTGCAAAACATTAAAGCCAATAAATTCATGCGTACAAATAATATCGAAAGAACTTAACAACTCGAACTTTTAGATTAATCGAATCTCAAACCTTCACATCAATTCAACAACAAACATTTACAACACTAATAGAACCAAAAAATATTGACAAGTTAAGTTATTAGCAGCTTCCACCATTTTATAAACTTTATACAAATGAATGACTAAAGGTACACGTAAACACATTTCAAAGCAATAAGGGCAGACCTAGATTAGAGTAAATAACATACATTATAGCAATAGACTGCAACAAGCAAACAAAATAACTATCAATACATTAGTTTTGTTCTAGCAAAACAGTTCATGTATTTGTAAAATAATAACAGAGTATTCACATGGAAAAAGTAGTTCAAACAAACTATAACAACTCATATTCTCTTTATAAAAAAACACAAGAGAGTTAGCTAGTCAATGTAACAACTACCATATAGCAGAAAATTTCTATTACTTTCAATTTCTTACCAATCAGCCTTCTCGGGTTCCAAAAGAACTACTTCAAAAATCCTCAAGTGTTACCTTTGCGTCTGTTTCAGCAAAGCCTATAAATAACATTATCACACAATATTAGTAGGAAACCAAGCCAAAGAGAGGAAAACATATAAGAGATACAAGTCCAAGATAAGAAGCTTAGCTTAGAAAACTCCATCAAAAAAATCCTTTTTTTAATCACAGATACAAAACAAAACAGTGGCACAATGACTCTATTGTTATTAAAATCAAGAAAATTGATTTATTTGAAACTCAAGATTTAATTTTTATCTTCTGTTTATCATCATCATACAAATATTACCAAATATAAGAACACCATTTCGAATTCTTGGTTTAAATCAACCCCACTTTGCTTATTTTCTTTTTGA